CTGCAATCTCTGCCTCCTGGGTTCAAGCGGTTCTCCTGCCTCAGCCTCCCGAGTAGCTGGGACTATAGGTGCTTGCCATCACGCCCAGCTAATTTTTGTATTGTTAGTAGAGATGGGTTTTCACCATGTTGGCCAGGGTGGTCTTGATCTCTTGACCTCATTATCATCCCACTTCGGCCTCCCAAAAGCAGAGTGCCAGGATGCCAAAAGCATGATCTGTCAAAATAAAAATTGATAAAATAGAGTTCACCAAAATGACAGTGTTAGAAGAATTAATAGACACTATAGACTAGGAGGAAATATTTGCAAATCACATATCCAGCAATGGACTTGCATCCAGAATATATAAAGAATTCTCAAAATTCAATAGTAAGAAACAATCCAAATTAAAAATAGGCTAAAGATTTGAACAGACACTTCGCCAAAGAAAATATATGAGTGAGACTTAGCTAGGTGTGGTGGCACATGCATGTAATCCCAGCTACTCATCAGGTGTCTGAGGCACGAGAATCCCCAGAACCTGTGAGGTGGAGGTTGCAGTGAGCCGAGATTATGGCACTGCACTCCAGCCGGGGCGACAGAGCAAGACTGTGTGTGTGTGTGTGTGTGAGAGAGAGAGAGAGAGAGAAAGAGAAAGAGAAAGAGAAAGAGAGAGAGACAAATAAGCACAGTAAAAGATGTTTAATATTATCAGCCACTGGGGAAATGCATATTAAAACCACAATGAGGTATCATAATGTGCCTTTTAGAATGGCTAAAAACTAAACTAAACTAATAATACCAAGTTATGGAGAAGATACAAAACAACTGGAGTACATTATTGGTGAAAAACAGTGCAATGCAAAATGGTATGGCCACTCTGGAAACACGTTTGGTAGTTTCATATAAAGTTGAAATAAGTTATGTATAACTTACGTAAAGTTAAACATATATGTACCTATAACCTAGAAATTCTGTTTCTGGGTATTTACCCTAGAAATTAACAACACACATCCACACAAAAACCAGCCGGGCACTGTGGTTCACACCTGTAATCCCAGGACTTTGGGAGGCCAAGGCGGGCGGATCATGAGGTCAGGAGTTCAAGACCAGCCTGACCAAGGTGGTGAAACTCCCATCTTAAAAAAAATTTAAAAAAAGAAAAAAAGGAAAAAGAGTTTATAGCAGTTGTACTCATAATGGCCAAAGGAAAAAAAAAAAAAAAGGAAACAACCCAAATGTACTTCTGCTGGTGAATTGATAAGCAAAATGTAATAGATCCTATTTCCTGTGAGGGAGTACTACTCAGCAACAAAAAGGAGCACAAGCAATAGTATGGATGAATCTCAGAAATATTATGCTAGGTGAGAGAAGCCAGACACAAAAGACTACACACTGTATGATCTCATTTATCTGAAATTCTAGCAAAAACAGAACTTATTTATAATGACCAAAAGCAGATCAAGTGATCGCCTACAAATTGATTGCAAAAGAGCAGAAAGGGGCTCTTGCAAATGGTTGGAATGTTCCATATCTTAATCACAGTGGTGGTTATAGGGTGTATACATTTGTCAAAGCTCAAAGTTGAAAATGTATACATCTGAGATATCCCAGAGTTCAGCGCGGCGCTAGCCCTTCCGCCACGGTCGCCATTGGAGAGTAGCAGCCATGGCTCTTCGGTATCCTATGGCCTTGGGCCTCAACAAGGGCCAAAAGGTAACCAAGAACGTGAGCAAGCCCAGGCACAGCCGCCGCCGCGGGCGTCTGACCAAACACACCAAGTTCGTGCGGGACATGATCCGGGAGGTGTGTGGCTTTGCCCCATACCAGCGGCGCGCCATGGAGTTGCTGAAGGTCTCCAAGGACAAACGGGCCCTCAAGTTCATCAAGAAAAGGGTGGGGACACACATCCGGGCCAAGAGGAAGCGGGAGGAGCTGAGCAATGTCCTGGCCGCCATGAGGAAAGCTGCTGCCAAGAAAGACTGAGCCCCCTCCCCTGCTGTCTCCCTGAAATAAAAAACAGCTGCACCCAAAAAAAAAAAAGAAAGAAAGAAAATGTATACATCTTATGACTGAGGTGGCTCACTTTTAGGTACAGAGCAATGCTTATCAAGCTGCTGGTAGAATCCTGCTATTAGTAAATCATTAAATTAATTAGAGAAGTATTTATCCTGAAACTAAGGAAGCTGAAGCTTCAGCCTCCCTTACAAAGTGTCTTCCAAGTCCTGGTTATTAATTTTATATTCAAAATTTTGTATTTTTCTTTTTCTTTTTTGACAGAGTCTCCCTCTGTCTCGCAGTCTGAAGTGCAGTGGCACGGTCTCAGTTCACTGCAAACTCCACCTCCTGGGTTCAAGCGATTCTCCTGCCTCAGCCTCCCCAATAGCTGGGATTATGCCACCATGCCTGACTAATTTTTTAGATGGGGTTTCACCATGTTGGCCAGCATGGTCTTGAACTCCTGGCCTTAAGCAATCCACCTGTCTTGGCCTCCCAAAGTGCTGGGATTATAGGCGTGAGCCACCACCGCACCTAGCCAAAATTTTGTACTTCTTCTAAAGGGGGCCCTCAAATTGTATTAACTTTAGGCTCCGTAAAACATCTGCCTCCGGGTGACCATCATAAAGCATCTGCCTCCGGGTGACCAAAATTTTTTAAATGAAATTGAATAGAAAATATGAGGATGTTTTGCAAAACTTTTGATCCAGTTTATATAATGGGTCAGCTTGTAAAATTTTCTTACCAGGGTTTGTGGTTTAGTGTATGTGTGCAGATACACACACACACACACACACACACACACACACACACACACAGAGAGAGACACAAAGTTGGAAATTCAGTGCTGTGTAGAAATCTGTGAAAATGTGCACAAGGAGATCCGTATACATTCAGTGCAGCACTATTTGTAAGAGAGAATCTTTGGAAACTACCTAAATGCCCATCAATAAGAAAATAAATAGACTGTATTTATTTTGCATATTTTGTATGCATATTGTTGAAGACATTAGCAATATGAATTAATTTGTGTTTGTGTAGTGTGGCATTTACATACATCACACTGCTTATTCCTTATGACAGCCTCGAGAAGTGAGTGTAACATAAATTATTATCCCTATTCCACAGAACAGAAACCTAAGATGGCAGAACAATTTAAGAGGTGGACTGGGGACTGGGCTAAGCTGTTCCTTGCTTAGCCTAGATTTGCATGGAAATCCACTGGGAAAGTTTCCTTCAAATCCATGTGGCCTGATCCAGCAAGAGCTGCCTTCTTCACCTTCTCTCCCTTCAGCCCCTAAGGCTTTGGGAAGGCACTTACTCAATGGCAGAACGACTTGTATAGATAATAGCCAAAAGTTTGTTCAAAACGCATTCATTCTGATGTGCAGGGCGGGACAAGGGGTGGACCTGCAAGAATGACTTGGATGAGATGGATATGTGTGTGGAATATTCAGGACTACTCACCTCTGCCAAATGCTTTTTGAAAGTTAGAGAGCGAGTTACAGTCATCAAAATGCAACGATATTAACTTTCTTTCTTCTTTCTTTCTTTCGTTTGTTATTTGTTTGTTTTTGAGATGGAGTCTCTGTTGCCCAGGCTGGAGTACAGTGGTGCGATCTCGCCTCACTGCAACCTCTGCCGCCCGGGTTCAGGCGATTCTCCTGCCTCAGCCTCCCGAGTAGCTGGTATTACAGGCGTCTGCCACCACACCTGGCTAATTTTTGTAGTTTTAGTAAAGACGGGGTTTCACTATCTTGGCCAGGCTGGTCTTGAACCCCTGACCTCCTGATCCACCCGCCTCAGCCTCCCAAAGTGCCTCTCTCTCTCTCTCTTCTCTCTCTCTCTCTTTCTTCCACCCCATCCCTTTTTTTCTTTTTCTTTCTTTCTTTCTTTCTTTCTTTCTTTCTTTCTTTCTTTCTTTCTTTCTTTCGTCTTTCTTTCTTTCTTTCTCTTTCTTTCTTTCTTTTCTCTTCCCTCCTTCCTTCCTTCCTTTCTTTCCTTTCTTTCTTTCTTTCTTTCTCTCTCTCTCTTTCTTCTTTCTTTCCTTTCTTTCTTTCTTTCTTTCTTTTCTTTCTTTCTTCTTTCTTTCTTTCTTTCTTTTCTTTCTTTCTTTTCTTCTTTCTTCCTTCCTTCTTTTTTTTTTGACGCAGCCTTTTGCTTTGTCACCCAGGCTGGAGTGCAGTGGCGCGATCTCGGCTCACTGCAACCTCCGCCTCCCGGGTTCAAGTGATTTTCCTGTCTCAGCCTCCTGAGTAGCGGAGATTACAGGCGCGCCACCACGCCCGGCTAATTTTTGTATTTTTAGTAGACAGGGGGTTTCACCATGTTGGCCAGGCTGGTCTCTAACTCCTGGCTTCCAGTGATCCACCCGCCTCCGCCTCCCAAAGGGCTGGGATTACAGGCTTGAGCCACCGCGCCTAGCCAGACGTCAACTTTTCAGTACCTTTCAATATATTCTTTGCGCCCCATTCCTCAAATACCTTTTTTTCACTCTCATTTAGATGGTAATGACCATTTTAAAGGAGATAAAGTTTATGCCTGTTAAAGATTAATAACTTTTAAATCACTAACATACAAATGTCTTAAAAAAAAATACCTAGCTGGACAGAGTAAAAAATCAGCAGCTTATATTCTATCGCGCTTTTGTCGGTACTGCAGTATGTTAACCGTGAGGCTTAGAACCTTGTTTCACAGCCCTGATCCTGCATTATGAGAATCTTGTACGTTCTGGGTATTCTGGTATGGAAGAGGAGAAAAACCCGCGCTGGGCAGCTCGCAATCCAGGAAAATAGGGAAAGATAACCTGGAGCCCGTGCGTCCCGGAGCGCCCGGCTAGCGTTTCCGACGGCCACGGTGTCTCGGTGGGGACCGGTCGGGGGGGCTTCGGCGAGGACCCAGAGCGCCCTCCCCCACCCCCTGCGGCGGAGCTGACCACTGAAGCCGCAGGTCCCTTTAAGGTGTCGGGAGAGCTGAGAAGGGGAGCGGAGGGGGCGGGAGGAGGGTTTGGGAGCGCACGCCACGTGATTCGGCGGCCAAGTTCGCTGCGAGTTTGACAGAAGTTTGAATCCGACTCGGGGGCTTTCTGCTGCCGGCGGGGCACTGCGGCGGCCGCAGCATCGGAGAGGGCGAACAGCAGTGCCCGCGCGACCTAGCCAGGCAGCCTGTACCCCTGCCCGCCGACGGCCGCTCTCGCTCCGGCCCGGCTCGCCTGCCCTGCCCGGGGCCCGCAGCTCCCCGCCTCCCCGCGGTGTCCGCCGCCTCCTGGCCAGGGAGCCCCCACGCCGCGCCCCGCGCCCACCGCGCCAGCATGTCCTCGACCGAGAGCACCGGCCGCACGGCGGACAAGTCGCCGCGCCAGCAGGTAGTCCCTGCGCGCCCCGGGCTCTCTCACCCGCCCCTCTCCACCTACATGTCGGCTGGACCCTTATCCCACCCCCGGACCCCGTGTGAGTGGGGCAAGGGAACCAGCGCCTTCCCGGGGCTCCCCACCGCCCTGATCCCCGGCCGGCTGTGTCTCCGCAGGTGGACCGCCTGCTCGTAGGGCTGCGCTGGCAGCGGCTGGAGGAGCCGCTGGGCTTCATCAAAGTTCTCCAGTGGGTGAGTCGCTGCCCTGGCCCCGGGCTATTTCGGGAGCCTGGACTGTGACGCTGACCCGAAGCAATGGAGCCAGGGTGGGGGCTGGGGAGGTGCTGCGGCCGGGCCACGGCGGAAGGGTGGGGGGCGGCGACAGGTGGGCGGGGGAGGGGCGGGCTGGAGCTGCCTCTCCGGACTTGGTGGCAGGAGGGTGAAGAGCGAGGCATGCAGAGTCCCGGATTCGGTCCTTCTATGTGCAAGGAGCCTTTGCCCAGGGCGCTCACATTTCACTCGGGCGAGAGGACCTGGGTGTAACCTTTCCAGAATTCTGATCCTGCACATACCAATCCTTGGTGACGGGAGCGGGGGGGAGAAGGACGAGGGGGACTAGGTCCGCTCTTCACCAAGAGGGAAGCCGCGGAGGGCAAAGGAGAGAAGGAAGCAGGTGATAGAAACCATCCTGTCCCCAAACCTACCAAGGCCTGGATGATCCTGCAGGTACTGGACTCAGGGGACAGGCTCTTGGCTCGCTGTTCCCTGTTAAGGTAACGAGTAATCTGGGTTCCTGTAAATGAGAGAGGGAATGGATGGATGAATGAACGGAGCTTATGGCTCTATGATTAAATAAAAGAAAAAATTAAGACAGAATAAAAATCACAGCATGGCTAAAATGTAGCATGTAGAATAAAATGGAACACTGATCTGAGAATCTGGGGCCCTGGGATCCAGACCTAGACCAGCCTTTTCCGGCTATGTCACCTTGGGCAACTCATTTTTCTGGACTTCAATTTCCAACACTAGTCAGATGTTGATCAGAATCTTCCTAGGGTCTCCTTATGCTCTAAATATGTTGGTGTGCTAGAATATGGCCCTAGGTTAGACTTACTTTGTGACCTTGAAAAAGTCACTTGCTCAGGTCCTCAGTTTCCCCTGCTATGATCTAGTGGAAACACTATCTTGCTTTACTAGGCCACTGCCCAATGCCTCCTGGGTATAAATTAGGAATGTGGACAGGTGCAGTCACTTTCTCAAATCATAAAGACTTGTAGGGGGCATTTGGTGCACTATTGCAGAAGAGATTTTAAGTTAGACAATCCACATACCAAATGGTGTGTGAATAACTTAATGTCCTCTCAGTACAGAATTCAGCTAGGGAATAAGTTACCATTACTTTTGAGGAGGATTGAGTTCTACAGGGCTTTGGAGACAAGAATTAGCATTGTGTCACCAATTCCTAAATCGTGGTTTGGATAAGAATAATCAAATCTGGAATCCAGGGACAATAGTGCATTTGGATTGTCAGGCCAACCCAAGAGCTCCCAAGTGCAAACTTTGGGACCTGATGGGGACTTTCCACCTTCCTTACTGCCCCAAGAGTGGTTGGACCAATTCCTGGTGGAACTCTTTTGCCTTTGGCCCCTTCCCTGTTCTGACCCACCACTCAAGTGCCAGAGGGAGCCATAAAAGAATAATATTAAGGCTCTGAGTGACTGGCGTCCAGAACTGGAAGAGCCATTATGATCAATCCAGAGGAGCAGAACCCGAAATGTAAGAGACGAATTTTTATCATTAAATTAGACAAATGGATCCAACAGAATTTGAGACAGGCTGTTAAAGGATAAGGGAAACAATGAGGTTATTAGACCATGGAACCATGGACTCCTCTCCCTTGGAGGGATTCTGAAAAGCTTCCTTCTTCAATCCTGCCATCCTTTCCTCCACCCTTGCACCTTAAATACCCATAACATTTCTGTAAAGGCTGTACAAAGCAATGCCCAGGGAAATGACCCAGTCTTGGGGTCAGCACTAATGCTCTAGGAATTAAGATCTGATTGACTTTTATGATCTTCAGGTTCTTAGAAAGAGGGTTATACAAAACAGAGACCCATTTTTCTCAGAAATGCTAAGCCTGGGCCTGGGGCTAGACTCTGAATTCAGACTTCATTCACAGGGTAGCATCACAAAGAAACATGCTTTGCTTTTACTGCTATCCCAGGTAGCCTGAATTCAGGGTGCCACTTTCACTTGCTTTGAAGTTCTGCAGATGAGGTAACATAAAAAGTACACAGGCACCAGCACCAGAAATGACAGTGGAAATGACATTTGAGCTTTTCACTCATTTCCTCTTTGGAGGAATCGAATGCTCCTGACTGGGAAAGGAAAAAGAAAATGCAACACTGGCAGTTGTCATAATGGTAACTGAAAACTTTGTTGTCATTCTTACGAAAAGCAGAGGTTTTACTGGAATCTTTGTGAGAAGAAAATAATGTTATTCTTTTATTTGTCAGGAGCTTAGCTTAGAGTTTTTTTGTTTGTTTGTTTGTTTTTTTAATTGAGAAATCAACTAATCTCACCTCAATTCCAATTCTGGAGTCTCACTAAGTCTGTACTAAGTTAGCAAAAATAACCTGGACATAGACTAATTATTGAAGAACTAGTTTTTTGTTGTTGTTGTTTGTTTGTTTTTTGTTTTTGTTTTTGTTTTTTGAGATGGAGTCTCCCTCTTATTGCCCAGGCTGGAGTGCAATGGCTCCATCTTGGCTCACTGCAATCTCCGCCTCCTGGGTTCAAGTGATTCTCCTGCCTCGGCCTCCTGAGTAGCTGGGATTACAGGCATGCACCACCACACCCAGCTAATTTTGTATTTTTAGTAGAGACGGAGTTTCTCCATGTTGATCAGGCTGTTCTCAAACTTCTGACCTCAGGTGATCCGCCCACCTCAGCCTCCCAAAGTGCTGGGATTACAAGCGTGGGCCACCACGCCTGGCCTGAGAACTAGTTTTTTTAAAAAAGAAAAAGACATCAAATTGTGGGAGCTCAAGATAAAAAAGAAAAGTGTCTTAAGAATTTGTTTTAAAGAAAAAAACACACTTTGGGAGGCTGAGGTGGGAGGATTGCTTGAGCCCAGGAGTTTGACACAAGCCTGGGCAACAAGGGGCGATCTCATCTCTATAAAAAAAATATTAAAATTAGCCGGGTGTAATGGCACATGCTTGTGGTTCCAGCTCCTTGGGAGGCTGAGGCTGGAGAATTGCTTGAGTCCAGGAGTTCGAGGCTGCAGTGAGCAACGCACTGCAGCCTGGGTGATAGAACTAGACTTTGTCTCCAAAAAAAAAAAAAAAAGACAGAAAGGAAGGAAGAAAGAAAGAAAGAAAACAAAAGAAAAAGGAAAAAGAAAGAGGCAGATTTTTGAGGTCAGATAGGCTTTGGTTTAAATTGAGTCCCCTCTGCTTTCTTGCTTCTATCTCTGAAATCTTGAGTAAGTAAATATCAATTTTTTTTTTTTTTAGACAAGTTCTAAATCAGAGACTAAGATAGAGATGGGCTCTATCACTGAGGCTGGAGTGCAGTGGTAGGAACACATCTCACTGCAGCCTCAACTTTCCAAGCTCAGGCAATCCCCCCACCTCAGCCTCTCGGGCATCTGGGACCAAAGGCACATGTGACCATACCTGGCTAAGTTGTAAAGAATTTTTGTAAAAATGGGGTCTTGCCATGCTGCCCAGGCTGGTTTCAAATTCCTGGGCTCAGGCGATATTCCCACCTCAGCCTCCAAAAGTGCTGAGATCACGGGCATGAGCCACCTCACCCAGTGACAGAATCTTTATGGGCCTGTTTTCTTATCTGTAAATGGAGGTAAGACTTATTTTATGGGCTCATTAGGAGGATTACAGGAGATAATATCTTTAAAGTGTAGAGCATTCTGGAAGCCTATGGTGAGCCTAGCACTCCAGGGGGCATTAAGTACGTGTTGGTTCGCTCCCTATTCCTGAACTTCCCCTTTACTCCATCTATCCCCCATTCTGCAGACTATCTAGCTAGGCTAGTCCTTTGGTTGGATTATTCCAATGTCACTGTGAAATCCTCAATTTGATGGTAAGGTACAAAAAAATATCTGAGTGACTCAGTCACTCTTTCATTTGCTTATAAATAAGTCATATAACCTTTAGCTGGGTATGCCCTGATCAACAATTCACATTTGGGGTACCAAAGTCACTTATTTGGATCTGAGGTCTCTGTAATAAAAGTAAGTTATTTCAATAAATGTGGAGAATTTGAAAGAACACCATCAGAGTCCATAAAACCAAGGAGATATGTAATCCCAGTATTTTGGGAGGCTGAGGCAGGTGGATTGCTTGAGCTCAGGAGTTTAAGACCAGCCTGGGCAACATGGTGAAACTCTGTCTTTATGAAAAAATAAAATAAATTATCCGGAAGTGGTGGTGCACACCTGGAGTCCCAGCTACACAGGAGACTGAGGCAGGAGGATTGTTTGAGTCCACAAGTTCCAGGTTGCAGTGATCGTGCCACTGCACTCCAGCCTGGGTGACAGAGCAAGAGTCTGTGTCAAACAAACAAACAAAAAACGGTGAGATCAGTGTGGGAGTAGAAGCTGGGGAGAGAACTTGTCTTCCCTGTGCTGTGTACTAACTGGTCATGTTAGTGTCCTCTGGACCGACCAGCGAGCGTGTCAGCGCCAAAGGGGAGCCTCATCCTTAAACTGGAAAGGTTATTCTGACATTATTGCAAAAGAGATGCAGAAGCAGGAGGAGGCAGAGGGCAGAAAATGACCATTGCTGTCCCAGCAGCGCAGGTCCAGGAGGAGGAAGGCTGCTTGGCACCAGAATGCTAGAACTCCACCTTGTCTCAGGGCCTCTATCTCTGCTTGGCTGCTCTTCATTATAACCAGTTTGCTCATGACAGAGCCTTGTGCTTGGCGACAGAGGTGGTTTCAGTTCTTTCCCTCTCTTCCTGTGTCTCGGTCATTTGGCATGCTTAGGGAAGAAAGCAAATCTGGAGTGGAAAGATGGAGGGTTAGGAAACATGGAGGGGGTTGGAAGAAGGTGTCTTTTTGAGCTTCTGCACCCCAAGGCACAGAGCTACTCCTAAGGCACAGAGCTACTCCTAAGGCACAGAGCTACTCCTTCTCTCCTTGTAACTCCTCAGTGCACATGGTAGAGCTCTCTTCTTTAGCCTTAATAACTCTGTGATGCAGTTTGTTTTTATTTTTTGTTTGTTTGTTTTAATATGACACTCCTTTCTTGCGGTGAATTCTTGAGAGCAAGAGCTAGGTCTTATTCATCTTCATATCTCCAGCACCTGGCACAAGGTAGATGCTTAATCAGTGTTGAGTTCATGAGCAAATGAAATGGAAAGAGCACTGGACGGGGAATCGGGAGATGTGAATTCTAAGCCTGGCTCTCACATCAGCTAAACGTGACTTCGGGAAAGTGACTTCATCTTTTGGGGCTTCAAATTCCACCTCTGTGAAATGAGATGATCGGGCCTGAGAATCTTTGAGGTCCCTTTTGTTCTGCTGCTCTGTGAACCTGTGATTCCCCTCAGATGTCCCCATTTTGCTCTGGTACCATCTGACTGTATAGTCTTCAGTTTTAAACATATATTTTGGTAAATAAAAAATTATTATGTAAGATCCCTGACTTGAAAAGAATCAGAATACAATAAATACGAGTGATTATGGGTATGTTTTGCCCTCTGAGGAATCCAAAAGCAGGATTCAGGATTGTCAGAGCCTCAAGACCGTCATTTAGACATAGCAGAACTTTTAGTAATAATGGAAAAGTTTTAGAATCTGTGCACTCTAAGGTAGTACCCGCTCTCCCCATGAGGCTATTGGGCCCTTGAAATGTGCCTAGTGTCACTGAACTGATTTTTTTTTTTTTTTTTTTTGTATTTTTAGTAGAGACAGGATTTTGCCATGTTGGCCAGACTGGTCTTAAACTCCTGATCTCAAGTGATTCACTCGCCCAGCCTCCTAAAGTGCTGGGATTACAGGCGTGAGCCACCGTGCCTGGCCTGAATTTCTTTGTTGTTGTTTGATACAGTCTCACTCTGTCACCCAGGCTGGAATGCAATGGTGTGATCATAGCTCATTGCAGCTTTGAAATCCTGGGCTCAAGTGATCCACCCACTTCAGCCTCACAAGCAGCTGGGACCACAGGCATGCACCACCATGCCTGGCTATTTTTTTTTTTTTTTTGGTAGAAATGGGGTCTTGTTATGTTACTCAGGCTAGTCTTGAACTCCTGGCCTCAAGTGATCCTCCCACCTTGCTTCCTAAAGTTTTGGGATTACAGATGTGAGACACTGCACCCAGCTTGAATGTTTAATTTAATTTAATTTTAATTAACTTAAATGTAAATAATCAAGCTTGGCTAGTTGCTATGGTTTTGGACAGTGCAGCTCTAGGGTGATGCAGAGGCTTCTAGAGTATAAGCCCCATGAGGACAGAGATTTTCTTTTTCTTTTTTTTTTTTTTTTGAGATAGGGTCTCGCTCTGTCACCTAGGCTGGAGTGCAGTGGTGTGATCATGTAGCTTTGACCTCCTGGACTCAAGAGATCTTCCCATATCAGTCTCCAGAGTGGCTGGGACCACAGATGTGCAACCACCACACCTGGCTAATTTTTCTTGGCTAAATAAAAAGTTGGCTAATCTCAAACTCCTGGGCTCAAGTGATCCTCTCATCTCAGCCTCCCAAAGTGCTGAGATTACAGGCATGAACCACCATGCTCAGCTTTTTTCCTCTTTTGTTCACTACTAGATAATGGTGCCTATATCAGTACGTGGTAGGCACTGTACATGCTAGGCATAGCACATGCTCAATACATGTTATCTTTCTGTAGATGCTCAGGCGTGCCTTTCAAGAGAGTGCTGGTGAAGAGAAGGCTGCATAACTGACCATTGACTGCCCCTAGGTTTTGAGTACCTACTTTCTTTTTCTTTTCTTTTTGTTTGAGATGGGGTCTTGCTGTGTTGCCCAGCCTGGAGTGCGGTGGCATGATCATAGCTCACTGCAGCCTTGAACTCCTGGGCTCAAGTGATTCCTCCACATCAGCCTCCTGAGTAGTTGGGACTGCTATCAGGCACCACCATGCCCGGCTATTTTGTTTGTAGTTTCTGTAGAGACAGAGTCTTGCTCTGTTGCCCATATGTTGCTGGTCTCAAACTCCAGGGCTCAAGCCATTCTCCTGCCTTGGCCTCCCAAGCTGCTGGGATTACAGGTGTGAGCCACCATGCCTGGTCCCTGCTTTCTTAAGAAACCTATAAGGAGCCATTCACTGACTAACTGCCAATGGGTAAAAATATTTCCAACTGTGCTCCCCCCTTCCTAGAATGTGACACCCTAATCATGTCCAGTCTGAGCACCAGAAGCTAACAGGAATAAAGAAACTTCTAAGAGGAATCAGATGGCCACAGAACTGACAAAAGATTAGAGAATTCCTATGAGGAAGAGCTAGAGAAGTTCCACTACTATACTGCTGAGGCCACTTTGAGTATGTACAGGGTAGTGATGCAGAGGCTTCGAGTGATTCCTCTCTATTTCTGTGAAAAGGTGGGCAGACAGGGCTCTACTGCAGCCTCCATTATTTAATTCAGGAGAAGAAGTCATTTAGGCGTTGAAGGGAGGTTTTACTGTCTTCTCTCCCAGACATCTTTAAACATGGAGACAATTCTCATTTGTCTGGAATAAACCTCCTGGAAACAGAGAGGTGCTCATTATGACCTTTGCAGAGAGGTCAATGGCTCCAGCATGGAGCTCTGTGAGGCCAGGCACTGCAAGCCGGGACAGTGGCACTGGACACCTCCCAGGGGCAGAGCACAGCTGTTGGCAAGCCCAGCCAAGAGTACACTGACAGTGTTACTCTCAGAGAGTAAGGGAGTTCCAGGGCTAGAAAGGGCCTTTAGATTATCTACTCCAAACCCTCCATTTAAGATGAGGAAACAGACAGAGAGAGCAGAGTGACTTATCAGATCTCACCGGCTAGTGACAGGACCAGGTCGGAACCCAGGTTTCCATACTCCTAGTTCAGGTCTCCTTTCGCTCCATAATGCTAACAAGCATTAGCAAAATAATGTGCATATAGCTTCTGTTCTAGACTCTGGATGCAGGGCTGAGATGTAGATGAGCTGTCTTTCAAGTCCTTAATGTCCAAGACACTGAACCTCAGAGAAACATACAGAAGGTGAACAATTAAGAGAATAAGCTCATTGCTTAATAAGCATAATGACATTGTATACAAGTCAAAGGTAAGTGCACAGGAAACCCAGTCTGAACAGATGATGTGGAGAATAAGACATTTCCAGTTCTCACCTCCTTTCTTTTTTTTTTTTTTTGGTGGTGGGGACAGGGTCTCACTCAGTCACCCAGGCTGGAGTGCAGTGGCACAATCTCGGCTCACCGCAACCTCTGCCTCCCGGGTTCAATGATTCTCCTGCCTCAGCCTCCCAAGCAGCTGGGATTACAGGCGTGTGCCACTACCACCCGACTAATTTTTGTATTTTTAGTAGAGATGGTGTTTCACCATGTTGGCCAGGCTGGTCTTGAACTCCTGACCTCAAATGATCCACCCGCCTCGGCCTCCCAAAGTGCTGGGATTACAGGCATAAGCCACTGCACCTGGCCTCTCACCTCTTTTTCTAACCAAAGTGTGTTTCCCAGAAAGAAATTTGAAAATCATAGGATGAGAAAATGTTATTTCGCTTGAGAGAGAAGGTGTAGTAAAATGTGAGAAAAGGTGGAGAAGAAAACAATTCGAATGACCTGGGACACCTCTGGATCTTAACACTGAGAAATGGCAGCATCAACAGATGACAAGGGGAAACACCAGCGGGGAAACAGTGGAGACTGATAAGTCAAGTGGAGGGTACTTTTCTCTGGGCTTAAGCCAAGATTGTCATGTTGGCCCAGCCAGCGCTATTGCTGGAAGGCCATGTGCCTTTTGGGAAAGAGGAATTAGGCTGTCAGTACCCTGGAACAGCAGCATGGCCCCTCTGGGGAGGCTTGGTAGAAGCTGCCCCCTCCAGCTATACCTCCACCGGGGCAGGAAGCTACTGGAAGTTAGCAACTAGGAACCAGTTTCGACTGCTAGATCAAAGGAGAAATGAAAACCATTCTAGGCATGTCTAATCTAGGTTGGTGCGGGGGAATCTATTTCTTAGTGTGCCTCTCCCTTGGGAAGGAAATTCCAGTCTATCCGTAAGCTACAAGTTTCCTAAAGCCTGACTTGCAGAGGTTTTGTGTTCGTCATCATCTTAAGAAGGCTACCTATGGTCCCAAGTCACACCCAATGGAGAGAACTGGCAACTGTCCACTTCCTGTGTCGTCATGTCCCTCTCACACACCACTCAGTCAACCTTATTCATCTGGGTATTTGGTCCAGCAGCCTGAGGCTGGAAGACAAATGGAAGCCATGGGTTTCTCCCCGGAAGAACTTGATTAAAGGGAGTCCTCGCTCTCCCCGACTCCCACACTTAATGTCTGCACCTGCGGGCAGTCACAGTTAGTTACTGACCTTGGCAAGTTGAGGCCTTCTGACTCTCAAAGAGGCTTCACTCTCTCTCAGCTTTTTGCTATTTTCGCCTTCGGGGCCTGCGGCTCCTACAGCGGGGAGACAGGAGCAATGGTTCGCTGCAACAACGAAGCCAAGGACGTGAGCTCCATCATCGTTGCATTCGGCTATCCCTTCAGGTGAGCAAGAATTGGTTCCATCCCAGCACAGCTTCTCTCACTGGATTGGCAGAACCTGTTTGGTCTCTTCCTCTTCCAGGAACCTAAAAACGATTTGTTGTGTGACACTCCAGATTCAAATAGAATGATAAGACTTGGATCCTTTCTGCTCTTTAGCAATTTCAGACACACTGACCAGAGCAAAATGTAAGGGAAACGCAGATTGATCACGGTAGAATAATGTTCCAGTCCATGGACAACCCAGGGCAGGTCACACCAGCTCATACAGAAATAACCCATGTAGTTTGGGATGGAGGCTTACGGGAGCCTGAGCAAGTTGGACAGGTCTCTCTGACCCTCAGCAGCCTCCTCTCTGCCTTGAAGGTAGGGAAGCTTATTAGTAGTTACATCCTAAAGAGTTGATGTGGGGTCCTCAGCTGGTACCACCAGAATAAAAGTGAGCACACCTTGACAGGGAGGTAGAAGCAAACTCTTTTCTGGGTATTTGGGAGCTTAGGAAGTAGGGAACCCAAGTGTTCAGAGGAGAAAGGGGATGATAGGGCTTACCTTTTCAGAAATTTCTAGTATCAGCACCCAAGTTATCTTAACTGTCTCTATATATAATAGGCTGTGTCTTTCTCTTTAATTTGTCCATTGTCTCATTGGAAAGCCCAATAAGGCCTGAGAATGGGTGATTCCAACCTTAGCCACTCCGGGCCTGCACTTTCAGAGGCAGAATGAAGCTGATCTACCTAGTGGTTTGGCTACCAGAAATAGAAGAACTGTATATATTATTGTTGTGACCTAAAGGGCGCTGGAGATACTTGGGAATACATGGTCACCATGTCTGGGCAGGGTAGATGAGTGGTGTAGGGGGGGCAGCTGAGGGAAAGGTAGTTTTACTGGAAATTTCAGGGAAGTTCCCATCTTGATTGTAAGGTTCCCTCCAGAAACATTTCTCCCTACATGACCCCTTTCTTGGCTCTGTAAGAGTCCCCTGCTGAGAACTAGCACAGGACTACTTCTGGGCCAGGGAGAGAGAGAATTGCCTGAGCTTGGGATGGCCTCCCCTGCCACCTGCAGGTTGCACCGGATCCAGTATGAGATGCCCCTGTGTGACGAAGAGTCCACCTCCAAAACCATGCACCTCATGGGGGACTTCTCTGCACCCGCCGAGTTCTTCGTGACCCTTGGCATCTTTTCCTTCTTCTATACCATGGCTGCCCTAGTTATCTACCTGCGCTTCCACAACCTCTACACAGAGAACAAACGCTTTCCACTGGTGGTGAGTGAGCATAGGCCAGAAGGAATGGGTGGAGAAACCGAGGAGATGTTTGCGAGGGGCCTGAGGTCAGACCTGGAGGAGAGGACTGACCTGGAGTCTTCCACCCCCACGGTGGAACCTCTGCCTCCATCAACCTCCTGTTGCTTGCTCCTGTTCACAGGAGGCACAATAATAGCAGCATACACAAGCAGGCTCTGGAGTTAGACGGTCTGGGTTCAAATCCCAGCATGGTCACATTGCTGTGTAATCTTGGACACACAGCAAATGTGTCCGATCTTGGGCAAGTTAAATAACCTCTCTAAATCTCAGTTTCCTTAACTATAAAATGGGGATAAAATAATACCTGCCTCATAGTTTTGTGTGTGTGTGTGTGTGTGTGTGATAAAATGAGAATGCATGCAAGGTATCTAGTATATAGTCTCAATAAGCATTAATGACTATTAATATTACTCCTCTTTACTCTCTTCCTATGCAGGCATGCAAGGCCCCTGGGTGATTCCAACCTTAGCCACTCCGGGCCTGCACTTTCAGAGGCAGAGTGAAGCTGACCTACCTAGTGGTTTGGCTACAAGAAATAGAAGTACTATATATATTGCAGTTGTGACCTAAAGGGCCCTGGAGATAATTGGAAATACATGGTCCCCACATCTGGGCAGGGTAGATGAGGGCTGGGGGCAGCTGAGGGGAAGGTAGTTTTACTGGAAATTTTGGGGGAAGTTCCCATCTCGACTGCAAGGTTCCCTCCAGAAACATTCCTCCCTACATGACCCCTTTCTTGGCTTCGTGACAGTGCAATCCCTCTCTCTCTGGCCCAGAAGTAGTCCTGTGCTAGTTCTCAGCAGGGGACTCTTACGGAGCCAAAAAAAAGGGTCATGTAGGGAGGAATGTTTCTGGAGGGAACCTTGCAGTCGAGATGGGAACTTCCCCAAAATTTCCAGTAAAACTACCTTCCCCTCAGCTGCCCCCCAGCCCTCATCTACCCTGTCCAGACATGGAGACCATGTATTCCCAAGTATCTCCAGGGCCCTTTAGGTCACAACTGCAATATATATAGTTCTTCTATTTCTTGTAGCCAAACCACTAGGTAGGTCAGCTTCACTCTGCCTCTGGAAAGTGCAGGCCCGGAGTGGCCAAGAGAAGGTTGGAATCACCCAGGGGTGCCTTAAGGGACCCCATTTGCCTCCCGCAGTCTGCCACTTGTAGCTGAGCAATGGTGATAAAAGGAAAAGCTGGGAGGGAAAAGTGGGGAGTTTAGGTTCCACTTGGGATGAGTGGGTTTTGGGGTGAGGCTGACCAACAGATGCCTTGGTACATGCAGCCAGACCTTAGGTCTGAGGGCATTAGTAGGGGCAGACTGAGTGGCAGGACCCCTTTGGGGGCAGTGAACAGATGCCTCAGGACCACCTGGGCTTTAGGCACTGGATAGGATGTCAGCTGTTCTGGCACCCTGGGATTGTCAGTATCACGGCAAGAGGAAAAGAAGTGAGGGAATTACTGGGCCTTTCTGAATGTGTTTCCCATCCCTCTGCTCCTCCCAGGACTTCTGTGTGACTGTCTCCTTCACCTTCTTCTGGCTGGTAGCTGCAGCTGCCTGGGGCAAGGGCCTGACCGATGTCAAGGGGGCCACACGGCCATCCAGCCTGACAGCAGCCATGTCTGTGTGCCATGGAGAGGAAGCAGTGTGCAGTGGCGGGGCCACGCCCTCCATGGGCCTGGCCAACATCTCTGTGGTGAGACCTGTGGCCACTGAGGGAGGCAGCACCATCCCTGCTGCCAGGCCTTTCCCAGCTAGCAGATCCTAAAAGGATAGAGAGGTTGTCCCAGAGCGGGTGTCCCTGCACCTGGAGCGGGTGCCCTCGCTGTGCTTCATGCTGGCTGCTGGCTCCTGGCCAACCCTGAGAAAACATTTTGGGATGAGGGGAACCCAAGAGCCACTTAGCCTTCTGTTCCTGCCTCCTTCTGCACTCCACCTCCAATTCCCTTCTCGTCTCCCCAGCTCTAGGCACACTCTCTGTGATGGCTCTCCTCCTCTTGCCTGTTTTACACAATGTGTGTGAGCACATAAAGGGGAGCCTGGGGCTGTGGTTGAGCTTGAAGCTGGGAGCAGACCCAGCATGAATGGGAAGGGGCTTAGAGTCGCTCAGCCCTCCAGCCTGGAAAGGGGCTTTGGGCCAGAGGTGGGTCAGCTGAATATGTATAGATTTGGCCACTCCAGTTGTTAGAATGTTGGTATGTCCATATTCATTGGTAAAGAGCTGAGGTCTTGAGCTTCTCAAATGCTGCCCGTCATCCCAGCCACCTCAGCCCTGTTCTGAAAATGACTTGTTACCACAGCTGAAATGTTTAATGGCTGGCACACCAAGAACACACTTCTGGAACTTGCTGGAGCCCTGCTGATAGGTTTCTCCCCCCCAAATTTTATTGTAAAAATGTTCACACATACAACAAAGTTGAAACAATTTTAACACCCACATACTCACCACCTAGACTGTGCCATTAACTTTTTACTAGACTTGCTTTACACGTATTTATTCACGTATTTATCCATCAATCCATCTTGTTTTTAATGCATTTCAAAGATAATTTGAGACATCAGTACACTCCCCTCTAAGTACTTCCTGCTGTGAGGTTTTAAAAATATTTTGAATAAATATTTGAATATAACTCTGGCTGGGTGCCTGATGGCAGGGAAGGAGCACCTTGGACAGCTCCTGCCACACCCACTGGGCAGAAGGTGCTTAGAACAGGGCCTCACGTGTGCTGCGGGAAGCGTCCCAGCTCTGACTTTTGGCTCCTGGCTATGCTTTGCACGATGCTCAACCAAAGGGCCAGATTCTGCTAGTGGCCAAGCTACATCTTGGGTTCATGCTGTGGACAGAGTTAGACACTTTCACCTGGGTTCCCCAAACAGGTGATGGCCCTGAGCCCTGCCTCTATACCTCTATACTCTTATATATGATCTATATATAAGAGTTCTCTGTCTTAATTTAGTCTTTCTAGCCCTCTGTGCTTCTTCCCTGCATAACCCCCCACCCCCACTGCAAGAGGAACTCCCCCTCACTGTTCCCACAATGACCCCCTGACTATTCTCACAAATTCCCCTGATGTCTTTGCAGCTCTTTGGCTTTATCAACTTCTTCCTATGGGCCGGGAACTGTTGGTTTGTGTTCAAGGAGACCCCGTGGCATGGACAGGGCCAGGGCCAGGACCAGGCCCAGGGTCCCAGCCAGGAGAGCGCAGCTGAGCAGGGAGCAGTGGAGAAGCAGTAAGCAGCCCGCTACCTGGCTACTCCCGAACTGGACAGCACCTCTTCAACCACCTCCGGCTTCCAGGACCTCCCTCTTCCTACTCCTCCAGTTCCCCTCCCCCATCATTCTGGTCTTTGAGCTTTGAGACGATGGGCAGGCATCAGCTGTTGGAAACCTGGGCAGCCCTCCCAGTGGCTTCCTGTTCTTCTTGCTGGAGCCAAGAACGGCAGGAGCTCAGTGCTTCTTGTCCAGTGCCTGGGCTCAGGGTTCTTACTTGTACTCTCACAGTCTCTGAGAATCAGCCTCTGCTGCAGGTGAGGGGGCAGGAAATCAGTGCCCTGAGACTGGTTCCTAGCAGCCACCTTTCTGTCAGCCTCCAGCTTCAACAGTAGTAGGGGAAAGGGAAATCAGCTATTAGCCTTCCCTTCTGGTCCCTTGTGTGGAGGCCCCAACAGTGGTTTCGTGACCCCTCCTCATTGGCTGTCATCTAGTCCCTGTGTCTGATCTCCAGTCACCCCAGGACTCGGTGTGCCTCCCACTGTCTTCTTTGGCCTCCGCTCACCCAGAGTCCACCACGTGTGAACCAGAGGCCCACTAGCCAAGAAAACAGTCCCTTGGAGGGTCCTGATGAGGCCTAGACTCAGCTGGGAGCAAGGTAAATTGCAACTGAGTTTCAGCTTCAACGAAGTAAAGCAAGTAAACTTGCTGGCATAATCAATTTCTTCTATTCCCTCAATCCTCCCACCCACCAGGCTGGGGCACTTTCCACCAACACTCTAAACTCTACTTTAGAAACTCCCTATCTTCCTCCCTGTCCTCCTTCTTGGTCTCACACTTGGGAGTCAAAATGTGGAGTCTAGGACCTGCCCCCAATTCCTTTGCTTCTCTGTTTATCTCCCTTCCCCAGCCTCTTGCATCTGAGGCATTTGAGATCCTTTTTGAAGTCTGTCCAGGCCTTTCTTTTATTCTTGTGGGGCCAGAAAGGGGCTTAGGAAGGGCCAAAGGACTATCATGAGGCTAAATTGCCCCTGCACCCCAGGATGGATGGGCCCATTTTTTCCTTATTCATTGCTCAGTTTTTTCCCCCTGCTCCTTCTCTAGTCCTTCTTTCATATTTCTCCTTCTTATCTTTTAAACAAGATGTTCCCCTTCCCCATGCCCCTCTATTCCTCCCCTGTGTCCTTATTTCTCCCGGTCTCTATCCCCTCCCCAGTCCATGGCAGGCCGATGCTATTGGTGCTTCTTCACTTTGGGACCCAGATCCATATTTGTCTTTAGTGTATATCCTCTTCCTGATAACTCCTTCAGTCCCTCTCTGGGCCCCAAGGCTGAGAGTCAGTTAACTGGGTTAGGACCATTTGCTTCCTGCTCAGCTCAATCTGCCCTGGCCATAGGGCTTCCCAGGGAAGGAAGAAGAGGGAAGAATCCAAGCACTTTCCAATCCAGTGCCAATTGGCCCGCTAAGCATCCCAAAGGTGAATGTGCTCTGTGCCAATCCCTCCTCAGGACTGAGTCAACCCCCTTCAACCTCCTCACCTCTCTAAACACCATCCATAGAAACACGTACATTACTGGGGTACCTAGGAGTCAGGACTTTTGCCTTCAGGCCCGTCATTTCCTCTTGATGGGGAAAGGGTGAGATTTACGTCCCCAAATGCTCCAGAGTCCTTCAGTGAAAGAATCATTTTTGTTTGTTTGTTTAAGATTTTGGGGAAGATATTCGAGGAGGAAAGAAAGGAGATGGGGTGAGAGGGTTTCTAAGTCTGAAACTCTCTCTGTCATGAGCTGTCCCCATGGTTACTCAAGGACAAGGGGGGACAGTTTTGCCTACAGCTCCAGAGACACAGAGAACAAAGGGGCGACCTTCATTTTTCTTTAAGCCAGCCTCTGTGGGGGTCTGTGAGCAGCTTCTACTGGGTCTTTGTTTGGATTCTGTGTCTGTATTTATAATTTATTTGAAATGTGCTGGATAGTGTTCTCATTTGGGGGCTGAAGTTAGCAACTGGCCCTTCAGCCAAGGAAAGTGGTTGCAAGTGGGGGTGGGGGGAGATTATATTCACTCCTGCCAAGGACTCCCAGCCCAGAACTCTCTTTAAAGCAAGGAAGGCTTGTTCTCTTTCTTCTCAAGAGACTCTCTTGTTCTCTGTCAGGAGAGTCTTTTTTTTTTTTTTTTTTTAATTCATGTGGAAATCCTATGGAGAGTCTCGATTTAGGCTATGGCCTCACTCTCCATGGCCACCCTAAGAGGAAAGGCTACTTCACCTCATTACCTCCAGAGGGCTGGGTGGGGCCAAGTACCTCATAGGACTTATGTTCTTTCCAGCCAGGGCTGGCATCACTGCTTTGCCCAGTGGGGCCTGAGGTAGAAGAAGGTGTCTGGTTTCTCCAGCAGCTGCAGGAGGCTAATGGGCAAGGCACTTGCCCTTTGTCCCACCAGACTCTAACTCAGTGCCAGGGAGCCCACCGAGGACCTTTCCTGGACATGAGTTTCCTTCCCTGTTGTGGTCATGAGTCTCTTACTTCTGGGATTGCAGATCAGGGGTGGGGGGAGAATGTTGCATGTTGTTTTCTGGTGCTTGTTATTAAACATTTGAATAAACAGTGCTGCAAGTACTTGCTATGAAGGATCTGACACTGGAGTCCTTCTGGGGATTTGTTTTTCTTCCTTTCTCTTGTTTTAAGTTCTTGGACAAATATCAGGACTTTCTGATAAGTCAGACTGTTTTTTTGGGGTGCAGAGAGGAGAGCAGTTGTTACTAGCAGGTTCTGGTCTAGTGACATCTCCTCTTTTGGTGGCACCCAATTAGACCAAAGTAACTGGGACTCATTAACAATTCTGGAGCAAATTCAAAAGGTGAGAGATAGTGGCTTCCACAAAGCTGTTTCCATGTGCTGTCCTACCATCTGTGACCCAAACGGGCTTCCTGTCAGGAGTTGAGGGCCATATGCTTCGATTTCTTAACTATCAGCTTCTTGTTGAACAAACTTGCACCTCTATCCCCCTTCACACAGTCATCCACTACATTTACATCCCCTAGAAAAATACACTTGGGCACAATTGAACAATTCAATTTTTACCAGATTCCTGGACACCCTAAGGATCATCTGTGGGTCTCAGGTTGATTCCCTGCCCTCAGAGATTATTCTTGAAGTACTTACACCTTCCCTGGATGAAAAGGAGAAGAAAATCTGAGGTCTTGCTCCCAAACTTGTTTTCCCCCTGGCTAAAGGGTCAAGAGTGGGGGGTGGGGGGATGAGGTGCGAGAGGTTGAGGAAAAAGGATTAGTATTTCTTTTCCAGTGTGTTTGGGGGGGAGAATGGAGGAGGCAGACTTTTGTCTCTTGATTGTGTGAGGGTGGGAAGAAATGTTATCAGCTGAGAAGAAGAAAGAAATGGATGATTAAGGTACTTTCCAGACCTTAGCAAGGAAGATGACAGCTCTGAAGAGAAATCTCCCTATGCCGGGGCTTCAGAAGCAGCCTTTCCAGCAGAGAAAGTATTCATTAGAAAAAGAAGGCAAAGTGATAGATGAAGTCAGGGTCCAGCCAGGGTTTGGGAAGAGGCGGTACAGGGTATCGATCGCAGTTCTCAGGAGAAGAGAGACGGATCAGCATAGATGCTGCAAACACCAGCCGCCTCGGGGCCACCCCAGTTCCGGGGCTGGCTCTGACTCAGAGACAGCCTTCTGTCATCGTGACAGGTGATCTTGGTCAGCTTAGCCAGGTCCTCTCAAACCCAGACAACGCCACTCCAACCCTCTGCTCTGCATCAGGGCAGCGTGGGTTTCCCACAGAGGAAGCACTACACGGGAGCCGAGGCCCTCCCCAACTCCAACCCCTGTGTCCTTCAGCACATCCTACAGACTCCCTCCCCTTGCCCTTCTGATTCACAGCGCCCACCTCCCTGCACCTACCCTATTCGATCTACAGGGGAGCGGAGTCGTTTCGTGGCCGCCAGCCCGGGAAGGGGCGCCAGCCAGCTGGCGGACGCACGGCTTAGAGGGGCGTCTGGGCAAAGAAAGGTTTGGGGCTGGGTTAGGTGCAGTTAGCCTGGGAGAGTGGACTGGTAGCACAAAGAATGTGTGCGTAAGGGTTAGAAGAGGAGATCCTGGAGCTTTGGTCTTCTCTTTTCCCCCTGCAATTGTGCATTTCGGAGGGACTCTGGCTGCAAGCTCGGTAGGCAATAGCATCCGCTCCAAGACTACACTTCCCAGAAGGCTGTGCAGAAGGGAGGGGGCGGGGAGCAGGCAACCTGTGTTGCGCTTGCGCAAAGAGTGAGCTGGAAAGGCAGGTTGGGGGAGAGGGGAGGCGTGCCCGCGACGAGGGCGAGGGGGAGGGGGCCGAGCGGCGGCGGCGCCAGGGCGGGCGCGCGTCCGCGGCGGTGATGGCGGTGCGTGAACGCGCGGCGGCAGCAATGGCCGCTCTGGAGCGGCGGGTGCCGAGTCTCGATGACTTCGCGGGACAGAGCTGGAGCTCGTGGGTGGAGCGGGCCGACCTGCCCGCGACTGACGGTAAGTGAAGCCACCCTAAAGTCCGGGGACCCCATCACTGTCTCCCCTCCCCCCTTCCGGGCCCCCGCCAGCTGAGGGGAGCCGCCGACTGGAGCCGCCGTCCGGCTCCCCGGCCCCCCAAACAAAGGACCCGCCGGGTCCTAGTGCCCGCCTGCTCCGTCACCTTCGCGCCTCCGGGTCCTAGCGCCGGCTCACCGCTCACAGCCCACCCAGCCCACCTCTGCCTCTGCCAGTCCCCAATACCTGCCCCCACATAGGCTTGCCTTTATCTTTCTCCTTGCCTGCTGGTCCCCAACTCGCGCCTCTCCGGCACCTGCCTCTGGCTTTCCCTGTCCGCAACAGTCCTCTCCACGTGTTTCCCACGCACCCCACTTCTGTGCCCCCTTCCTCACCCCCCTTGTTCTTTCGCTTTTTGCCCCACATCTCCTGCTCCTTTTCGGCGTTTGCCTGCAGCTGCAGTGCTTTTAGACCCCCACCCCCTCCACGTTAGTTCCTCCGTCCATCCATCTATCCTCCCTCTCTCCCTCCATCCTTCAGTCCATCCATCCATGCCTCCAAACCGCTGTCCTTTCCCAGGCCTCTTGCCCTGCCCCTTTGCTCTCTCCTCTGACTCCCACCTTCTCCAGGCCCCTGAGTGCCTTAGTGAGCGGGCCTACAGCCTCTTCTTCTGATCTTTGTCTTCTGGGCCCCAGGGAGCACCTGGCCTCGTGGCCTTTCGGGGTGACAGCAGGCATCACGCCCCTGAAGAAGTTTGCAAGTGAGAAGAGGTGGAGGAGGAGACGGCATGGAGGGGTCTCTAATGACACTTGTTCTCCTCTGAGACATCTGACTCTCAGTTTCGTTCTGTCCGTCGTTCCCCGCACTTGCATTTCACGGACTTAGAGGGGGAACTGCCCCTAGTCTCTTGCGTGCCTAACCCACCACCCCTCATATCTGGATATTATATAAGATTGTCAACAATCTTTTCATCCTAGAAGGGAGCATATCTGTTAATGGGCATCAGAGAGCAGACCTAAGTGGGAGCCTAGGCCACCCCGGGGCTGCCCCATGCTGGGTGGGCAAGGATGGGGCCATTGTCAGGGTCTGGGTGCATTGAGAACCGGAAATGGAGTCAGACGGGTTTGGTGACTCAGAATTGATTTTTTTTTTTCCAAGGGACAGGGAGGGGGCGTAGAGGAGGGAGGGGGGAGGAGAGAGGTAGGGGGATGGGGAAAAAGCTGCTTTGCACAGCTAAGATGTTTTTGTCATTAACCCAGAAACTGAGGTACAAGGGCAACCCCTGCCCAAAGCCCCTCTAAGAAGGGGAGGGACTTGCATAGCTGACCAAGGAGACTTTGAAGATGCCCAAGGACCAAAGACAGCAGTTTCTCTGCTCTGTGACCATCCTATCAGTGCAGGACCTGAGAAGCTGGGTGTAACTTTGACAATGCTGTGGTAACCCAGGTGGAGCAAAATTGAATTCATGGGGGTGGGGACCTGGGAGAGTATCTATTTGGGATGCCACAGAGTAGCAGAAAGGACCCATCTGAGAAATCTCAAGAAGAGACTCAAGGATTTATAGAAAAATTGGTTAAGGATTGTTTCCCCTTTAAATGGGGAAGCAGGCCCAGAAAAGAGATGATATTTACCACAATCACCCAACTAGTTAGCAGTGGAACCCTGAACTGCACCTTGAAGTGAGGGGTCCTGTAAGAAAGGTGGATGGATTCTTCTTAGTGGGGCCATCTTGGTGCAGATGCAGCAGGTGAAGGAAGATAGGCATTTGAAAATGACCCTCTGAAAGGTTCCCCAAGTGGTCCTAGCACCAGGAGCTTGTCACGGAGTGGGGGCTTCATACTGTTGTGTTACAGGCCCTGCTAGGAGCTTCTGGAAAGGGGACAACCTCTGGCTTGTCTTCTGGGAAGAACAGTCTCTGGTAAGGAGAGGCTGGAGTCCCTAAGACTGGCCCTGACCCTTCTGAGCTGTGTTTCTCCTCTAGGGGCTGAGCTGGAGGAGAGTAGCAAAAACACGAAGAAGCTGGATGCCATGACCCTCATTAAAGAAGGTGGGAGTCGACACACATTAGGGCTGGGACCCAGGGCAGACAGGACCACGCTCCACTTTTCCACCACACTACAGAAGGAGGTGGCTGCTTGAAGCAGCTGTCGGGGACCCTCATTTTGATAGGTCTGAGTCGGCCGGTTGCTCTGGCTCCTGTGACCTGTTGTTGGAGATCCTAATCATAGGTGATTGCCCACTCACCTGAAAGCGCATACCCTTTGGGACTGCTTAGATTGAACTCTGGAAGCTGGGAGCATTCAGCATGGAGCCTGTCATGTCAGCGGGGAGGTGAAGTGCCCTCTGAGTGGTGGGGTGGGAGTGCTCTCCAATCTTTCAGGGAAACCCTGGGATCCTCAGCCCCAGTGACATGGGCTTCTGTCATTGCAGACATGTCCATCTTCGGGCACTGCCCTGCCCATGACGACTTCTATTTGGTTGTGTGTAACCACTGCAGCCAAGTGGTGAAGCCTCAAGCTTTCCAGAAGCACTGCGGTGAGGGGAGCCCTAGGGCGGAGACAGAGGGACAGGGGAAGGTAGAGCAGGGAACTCTGAGGACAGGGTCAGTGGGGAGGTCTCATGGGGTAATGGAGGGTCGTGTTGAGGATAGGAAGGTCCTGGGGGTGTCTTCAGAGCACTGTGGGGGTCGGGTTATTGTCATTCTAGCATCCTGTGGAGTTAAGGGAGGTGTTAAGAGGTTCAGGAAGCTAGGTCTTGAATTTTGAGTCTTGAAGGCTCAGATTCAAATGGGAAGGAGGTATGTTTTCAATCTAATTTAAGGAAACTCAGATTCTCTCCTGTGAGTCTACAGACAGGGTTAGGTTGGGGAAGGAAGCAGTGATACCACTCACCTTGATTATTCTTTCCACCTCCTGGCGACAGAAAGAAGACATGGGCCCCTCAGCAAGCTTTATACCCGGGCCCCACCCCCACCTCCAGCCCCTGCCAGCTCTCAGAAATGCCATGTAGTGAATGGGCAGGGCCCAGCTTGTAGGGCCCCAGGTTCCACAAAAACCTCCTCCAGGGAGAAGGGCCAGGGGTCCCGGAGCCGTGGCCACCAGCCTCCTGAGAAGACCCAGAAAGACAACCTCTGGTAAGGAGAGGCTGGAGATTTTTCTAAGACTGGCCCTGACCCTGACCCAGGGAGGGGTGGACACCAATAGAGGCAGCCCTGGGTCTAGGCATACTCCTCACAGCAGAAGGCAGCGCCTGTCTGCAGCTTCCCTCCGTGTGCTCCAGGGAAGATGGGGTCCCTTCTTCCCATGTTTCACACCCCTGCTGGAGCCCACCCAAGTTCAGGGCTGGGAAAGAGATGGCGCTGGGCTAGAGTCCAGGCCCCAGGCCTTTCCTCCCCTTCCCCAGCCAACCCCCTCTCTCCATGTGTAGCCTTTTCGTGCCTGTGGTGAATCTGGAGAAGATGTCCAGTCTCCCGAAGCCTGATGGACACGGAATCAGGGTGGCCCCACCCTCTGCTTTTCTTAGCCAGCCAGGGGGCCTTACCAAGGACTCCCCTGGAAAACCTCCCATGGCTCCCCCTTCTAAAGAACCTCCTGGCAGAGAGAACATCGAGATCATCCCCAGTGAGGGATCCAGTCACCGGGCTGAAGGCAGCCCTCCTGAAAAGGAGCCCAGTGGGGCCAGGCTGCCCCCCAAAACCCACCGGAAGATGGCTCGTGAGTAGTTGTGGTCTTGGGGGTGTGGAAGGTGCAGTGGGGACTCTTTTGGGCGGCTTTGTCTTTGGGCCAGTTGGGGAGGAGGTCAGGTTTATAAGCCTGGCCGTCACAGGTTGTAGGGTACAGAAGCCCCTGTCACGTCTTGACTTGCTTGCTTCTTGGGAAGCTTCTCTCCAGCCTGTGTCTCCTGATGCAGCCCATGCCCAGGAGGTGAAGTTCTTTCTCACTCTTTCTCACCTAGATCCAGGGCGCCAGACATATGTCGCAACTGGCTTCTCTGGCATCCCAAATGCCCACGGCTGCTTGTGTTTCTTGATATGCGTTGCCCTGCTTTGGGCCTGAAGTCCCAAAAGGAGCACCTGGGATCAGGATAGGGATGGTTCTCACACCCAGCAAAGAGGTGTTGATGCCTAGAAGTTTCTCTGGATGGTGAAGCCCCAGGCTGAGGGCTGGAGGCGCTTCTGCCTTAATTCCAGTTCTTCTCAGGCCCTTGGCAGGAAGCGGCCAGATCCTCCTGTGGAACGCCTGGAAGTGGTCTTGAGGTTCACTGAAAGTGCTTTTCCCACAGGGAAGGAGTGCGACCTCAACAGGCAGTGTGGGGTGATAAATCCAGAGACCAAAAAGATCTGTACCCGCCTGCTGACCTGCAAGGTAACCCCCTTCCCACTGCACAGTGAGGGAGGACAGCACAGGGCTTGCCCGTTCCTTCCCTGGCAAGGAGAGGAATGTTGATGTTAGTAAAGATCTAGCTTAAGGGAGGGCGGTTAGGCCCGCCTTAGGGAAGGGGAGATGGGATGCCCCTCCTGGGCAGAAGATGGGAGCAGTGGGTAGGGGTGGTTTCCAGATTCCCCCATCCTAAGGGAGGGTTTTGGCCCAATGGAGGAGGGAAACAAAGACATGTGAACACAGCTGCAAATATGCCCACCCTGCCGTCCCTCACCCCTGCTGAGTTCATACCTGCTCCTCGGCTCTCCACCCTGCTGTATTCTAGATCCACTCAGTACACCAGCGTCGGGAAGTCCAGGGCCGAGCCAAGGACTTTGACGTGCTGGTGGCAGAGCTGAAGGCCAACTCCCGCAAAGGGGAGTCTCCCAAGGAGAAGAGCCCAGGGCGCAAGGAGCAAGTTCTCGAGCGCCCCTCCCAGGAGCTCCCATCCGCAGTCCAGGTTGTGGCAGCAGTGGCTGCTCCCAGCAGCACTTTCTCTGTCCGTGCCAAGCAGACGTACCCATACTGTGCACTGCCCAGGTACGTCTAGCATCCAACCCCTACCTTGCCTGGGGGTACTTGGCCCCTTAGCCACCAGGGGCCCCTGGAAACAGGCTCATGGAGTGTCCTGGAAGATGCACTCACTCAGCCCTGAGTGTGGGGGGACTCCTGGGGCTCCTGACGGTGGTGTGGAAGCAGAAGATGTCCCTGTTCCCAACCAAGCACACCACAAGCATCCCAGCCTCTCAGCGGCATGCCAGATCCAACACTTGGGATATGAACATTTTCCCAGCTGCCTCCAACAGGCCGAATCTTGTCACTGGGGAGCCAAAAGAGTCACAGTCTCGGGCAAGGCAGCCCTACGTGTATTCACTCACTGGCTCCTTCGTGTGCAGAGGCTACGCCGGACCCCGGGGAGAGCCTGCCTTGCTGAAGGAGACACACGTGCATCTCTGCCTGTCACACAAGGGGCAAACATGAAACAGGTTCAGCTCATAGACAGGCTTACAGGAATATGTGATGCAAGAAGGGGGTTGAGCAAGTTGACTGGGCTGACCAGAGCTGGGTGCAGTTTAACTGTGAAGATTTTCTGGAGGAGGTGGATCTGGAGCAGATTATCCCCTGAGGAGGAAGGGGCTGGGAGGTGAAGGGGCTGGGGAGAGAATCCCTTGGGAGCAGTCTCTCTGTCTCTTACTCTGTGAGCTCTGTGGTTCCCTCCTGTCCTTCCCTTCCCTCTGTCCTCTTCTGATTGCCCTGCAGGGTGTCTGCCCCTGTGCCCTGCTCTCTGAGCTTGGCGGGTTCAAGGACACCCCTACTCTGACCCCACAACAGTCACATTCCCCTCACATCCCCTTTGGCCCTTCCAGGTCCCGGGCCTCCTCTGAGAGTGAATTGGATGATGAAGGTCCCTGTGGTGGTGATGGGGACCCAGGCCTGTTCCCCTTTCCCATGCCCCGGGGTGGGGCCCAGGCCTCCAGCGAGGAGAGTGAGGAGGAAGGGACATCTGATGACCTCCATCTCCCCCCTGACTGCCATTATGCAACCCGGCCCCCGAGGCCACAGGCGGTAAGGAACTGGGGCAGGGGCCTAGGGTGGGGGTGGCCCAGCACTCCTGGCCCACAATATGGGGAGGAGGTCAGATCCTGTGTGCAGATGCCCTCTGTGCACCTCAACCCTGCCAACCATGCACCTTCCTTCTGCCTTTAGTTCTGCACCTTTGGGAGTCGGCTGGTGAGCCCAGGATGCTATGTATTTAGTCGCCGGCTGGACCGGTTCTGCTCGGCACTCAGCTCCATGCTGGAGCGGCACCTCAGCTCACACATGTGGAAGTAAGTCTCTTGGGCCCAGAATGGAAGTTCTAGAATGGACATTCCCAGGCTCCAGACATACCTGGGCTTCAGAAGCCCTGATCTTTCCTCTACGCCCATAGGTGTGCCTTGGCTGTTTGCCAGCAGGACCCCGGATAGGGAGCGGTGTGAAAAGGAGGTGGGAAAACTTGGCAGCCTAGGGCTTGGCTAAGGCAGGGCATGGAAGGGTGGTCTAGGGGTGAATCCAGACTCTCATCCATCACTTGCAGTACCTTTTGGGTGACTAGAGATAGGGGATGCCCCAAGCAAGATTTAAAATGAAGTTCCTAGTGGGTCTACCTCCTAGTTCGTATATACGAGTTAATTCCTCTCCACAGGCACATCCCTGTGCCATCTTCCTAACCCTCAGTTCCAGCATCTTCCAGCAGATGGCAGCAACTCTGGGGCTCTGCTGGCCATTTCTAGGTGGGGCAGAGACTGGAGTGTGTCTTGTGTTGGGGGAAGCTCTCTTGTTTGCTTGGCAGTCACAGCGGGCTCTCTTTTCGCTGCAGGAAGATTCCACCGGTGACCGAACCTCCATCTCACCTTGTCAACTCCCCCTTATCTGCTCCCCTGAGCCCATCCTCTACAGGCAGCTGCCCCCGCCTTCCAGGTCCACCCCCAAGACCTGCCTGCCCAGCCTCCACGCCCCCTACCAAGGACAGCCTTGTCCCCAGCTACCCTGCAGGCTCCCCCAGTGTGGCGGCCGCCTGTAGCCAGGCAGAGTGCATGGGCGGGAGCCAGGCTATCACCTCACCACTGCCTGCCAACACGCCGTCCCCGTCCTTCAGCAAGCTGCCGCCTTCCAAAGCCAGCAAGTCATCCAAAGGCAAGGACGGGGTGGAGATGGAGGCCCCTTCTCGAAAGCGGAAGTTATCCCCTGGCCCCACCACTTTTAAACGGACCTGCATCCTGGAGCCCACTGGAAAAGGCAAACCCTCTGGCTGCCGGGGCCTCTCGGCCAAGACTAAAACAGCCCTGAGCATGGGGCTTAATGGGACAATGGGGCCAAGAGTGAAGCGGGCAGGGCCCCTGGACTGTCGTGGCTCCCCTCATCAGCTCCCCACACCAGTCAAGGCTTCTCAACTGGAGAACCGGGGAGCAGCTGGACACCCAGGCAAGGCCCTGTCAACCAACTGCCTCTCTGAGGAGGAGGTGGCCAAGAAGCGGAAAAACCTGGCCACTTACTGCCGGCCGGTGAAGGCCAAGCACTGTCAGGCTGGTGCCCCTGCTGATGTGGCCTGTTCTGTGCGCCGCAAGAAGCCAGGCCCGGCCCTGGCCTTTGAGGAGAAGTGCTCTACACTGAAGGTACCAGCCAGGCTCCCTGAAGATTGACGAGGGTGGGGTGCACAGTGGGTACCTGATACGGAGAAGCTGCTACATTGGTGTTTGTGCAGGGAAAGGGAGGCAGGGGAAGTTGAGAGAGAGTTCCTGGACTATTTTCTCTAGGAAGAGGTAGGTCAGCTCTTAGCAAAGTGACTCCAGCATTTGCCTGGTGAACCTTCCCCTATCCCTCACCCTTTCCCTTGGGCTAAGGAGATGCAGCACCCCTCCACCCCTGCTTTTGCTGTAACCAAAGGGCCACTTGTTTCTGAATTGGCTGTGACCCTCATTCCAGGTACTGGAGCTACCTCTGTTCCCTGAAGGAAAGGGAGTTTGAGTCCTTGGGTCACAGCCTAACATGCCGAGCAGCAAGGTGGGTGGGCTGGTCTTGCTCACTGGTTTTTCCTCTGGGCATCAGGGCCTTGAAGGGCAGGCACACGACCCCATGCCCACTACTGCACGTGTGCCCGCCTTGCACATGTGCTCATCTCCAGCCATGTGGGTGACAGACAGGTTCTCCAGGATTACTAGTAAAGCCTGTAGCCAGTTTTATTTGCCTGTTCTGGTGGGATCCCTGGCGTAGTGTGCCATGTGCTCTCCATATGATCTCTGCCAGGAGGGACTTACTGGAGGTGGGATGGGGTTGCTCTCCTGGGTTAGATGTGGGCCCATAAGCCGTGTATGCTCTCCAACTTCACTACCCAAACTGGCTCTAGTGAGCTGGCATTCATCTTCCCTCTTGCTCAGTTTTACTCCCCAGGCCAGCAGAAGGAAATCAAGATTTAGCCCCTCTAGTCCACACAGTTCACCAGGAAGGACAGCAGGCAGGCCCCCACCCTGACCCTTTCTCTTGCCTCTTGTCTTCTTGCAGTCAAAAGCCCATTAATGAGAAAGTGCCTGCCCACTGCAACGGAGCCGCCAGCACCTCCTCCCCTCCAGATCCGGGCCCCAGGCTGCTGCCGCTTTTTATAACTTTATATTATTTTTTTTAAGAAAAAAACTCTTTAAAATACCTCAAGACTGTCTCCCTGTTCTGTTGCGGCTATGAAAATATAAAAACACAAACATAGAAAAGGAAGGAAAAAAAATAACAAAATGAGTGTCCTTACTGTCACCAGCCCTACCCTGTGTGGCTAAGATAGGCAGCCAGACTCCAGCTCCCATAGCTTGCCTGCAGAAGTCTCTTATGCTCATTATTATTATTGTCATCTTGTCATTTTCAGTAGTGTGAAAATGCGTGGAGTTTGTGTCACTGGGAGAGTGTTCTTTCCAGACAGGATGATGAGGTGTGTGGCTCTGAATGGGCAAGGCTTCCTGAGTCTTGACCCCAGGGACGACTATGGTCCCATTAGTAAGAGAAACTTGAGAGGGAGAGCTGCACCTCTGGCTCTTCTGTAGGATCCTTGCCCTGAGGGTCTGGGAATTGGCTTGTGGAATTGGTTGTGGTCCTCCAGCAACCCTAGGTGTCCATCCCTCCCTGAATTATTGCCTGTTTTTCTTCAGCCGTTCCTGCTTTTCCCACCTCTTACCAGCACTCTCATTTTCTCAACCACTTAGGGAGCTTGAGCTGGGCTGGTCATTGCTGTTGGAAGTTCCTGCTTTCTATCGGACAGCCTTTCTTCCCGGCTGTGGGTTTGCCTTTAAGGAAGGGGTAGAACCTTTCCCAGGGAGGCCTCCTTGGGCCTGAACCACACCTTTTTAGGAAAGGAAAAGGCATCATCACTTGCAGAACTGGTGGTGTGGGAGGCCCTGGTCCCTCAGGATCACCTGGCTCCTCAGGGCTGAGCAGCTGCTGAGGAGGCGGCAGGGCTGGGAGTGCCCTAGTTATTCCATTTATCTCGATGGGGACAACTGTGCAGATAGGAGATGAGACTTGCATCTCCCTCCTTTGGTCAACCAGGTTCAAGGCACTATATTTTAGCCCTGTCCTTTCCTATTTGCCTTCTTTTTAGGCAGGGAGGAAGCTTGTTCCCTGAACAAAAGGAGGCGGCAGGAGACAGTGCACAGACAGGGAAATCCAATACTACTAGAAATCGGCTCCAAACACTGGTTTCACACTCTTGGTTCAGCATACTAAACGTGTGATTTGGGGTTTCACTGAAATCGTTTGCTACAAATGTAACTTCCACAGGCTACTTGGGATTTAGGTCCTTGTAGACAGACACACAGATAAAATCAAGGTGGGCCGGGGTCTGTCCGGTCCCCTTCTGCCTCCGGGCTCTCGCGGGAGCGGGCCTCTCCGGAGCACTCGCGCTTTCCCCCCAGCCCCCAGAGGGCGCTGTAGGCCACTCCGCCGCACTGCCGGAGGCGTCCCCGGGGAGGAGCCTCTGCTGCAGCCGCCTCCGCCTCCGCGATCGCAAACCCGGAAGACGTGCTCGGGCAGCTGGAGTGTGCGGGCCCGCCGGGCACGGCCATGCAGCCCCTGGAGGTAGGTCTGGTTCCCGCTCCACCTGGGGAGCCGAGACTGACCCGCTGGCTGCGGCGAGGCAGTGGGATCTTGGCGCACCTGGTAGCTTTGGGCTTCACCATCTTTCTGACAGCGCTGTCCCGGCCAGGAACCAGTGAGTGTGCGGGGCGGGGCGGGGCTACCGAAGAGGGCGGAGCGGATGTGCTGGAGGGGCAGCGCTTGGGAGCGCCGAAAGATTTGGAGGAGGGACCCTAGCTGTAAAGGGGAGACAGAGACTGGAGGGGTTTTGAGGGCCTGGTGGGGCGGGGTCCCAGGGGTCCTGGAAGAATGGGGCTTTGGGTGCTGTGGGGGAAGGGCAGACAATTGAACAGACTGAACTACTTCCTCAGAAACAGGTCCCCTGATGGAGGATAGAAGTGAAGGAGGCCGGGCTCGGTGGGTCACGCCTGAAATCTCAGCACTTTGGGAGGCCGACTCGGGTGGATCACTTGAGGTCAGGAGTTCGAGACCAGCCTGGCCAACATGGTGAAACCCGGTCTCTACTAAGAATACAAAAATTAGCTGGGTGTGATGGCGCGCGCCTGTAGTCCCAGCTACTGTGGAGGCTGAGGCAGGCGAATCGCTTGAAACCGGGAGGCGAAGGTTGCTGTGAGCCAAGATCGCACCACTGCACTCCAGCCTATGCAACAGAGGGAGACTGTCTCAAAAAAAAGGCAGAGGTCTATTCTCTATTCTAGGACTGAGCTGCCAGCTGAGAGGTGCTGAATGGTGAACCCAGACCAAACTGTGTGTATAGGGAGGCCCTCTTGGTTGCTTACCTTGGGGCCCCTTAGCTGCTCCACTTTGTCCTTAGTTCCTGTTCCCGATTAGGGTTGGGGATGCTACTTTTCTCCTGTGGCTGGATTCTTTGGGATCCACCTAGCTACAGGGGCTGGAACAATGGTATGGAGCCCTCAGCCTCTTCTCTTTGATTCTTAGGTCTTTTCTCCTGGCACCCTGTATTTATGGCCTTGGCGGTGAGTTTGGGCTTCTATCTGATTTGTTTGGGTATGTCCCACCTCACTCCCAGGGAAGCATCCAGCCTTCAGAAAGCTCAGCCTTTCTAAGGCTAAGATGGGTGGAGGAAACATCTAGGGTTCATCTTTCCCTGCAGCCTATGGGATTTGGAAAGCGGAGGGCTGGGCCATAGGCAAATGTCAGGTGGTTGAAAAGGGTGGCAGGGCATAAAAGATACTTCTTTCGGCCGGGCGCGGTGGCTCAAGCCTGTAATCCCAGCACTTTGGGAGGCCGAGGCGGGTGGATCACGAGGTCAAGAGATCGAGACCATCCTGGTCAACATGGTGAAACCCCGTCTCTACTACAAATACAAAAATTCAGCTGGGCATGGTGGCGTGTGCCTGTAATCCCAGCTACTGAGGAGGCTGAGGCAGGAGAATTGCCTGAACCCAGGAGGCGGAGGTTGCGGTGAGCCGAGATCGCGCCATTGCACTCCAGCCTTGGTAACAAGAGCGAAACAAAGTCTCAAAAACCCCATACAAAAAAAAAAAAAAAAAAAAAAAAAAAAGAAGATACTTCTTTCTCCATTGGGGTCTGAAGGAGCAGGGGGGTGAGGTGTTATCCAGTCATCTCCCTACTTGTCCCAAAATTTCAGGAGGAAGTTTAACATTTGTTGTTCCACTGGTCAAGAAATGGGAGTCATTGTAGAGGTTGGGGTGGGGAGATGTCAACCTGAATGAGGAGACTTTGTTGTCAGAAATGTTGAGCTGTGAGGCTGTTAGTCCTGGTGGAACTTATTTAAACCCTATCCTCTGTCCTCTTTGTTAGGATGTATGAGAGGACCTCCTTTTTTCTCAGGCCTCCAAGCCAGACATGAGGCTTACTTCTCTCTCCTATGTTCACAGTTCTGCCTCTGCATGGCCAAAGCCATCCTACTCTTCTCACCTGAATACTCTCCGTTCTTTTTCTGCTCCCGAAAAGCTCGGATCCGGCTCCACTGGGCAGGGCAGACCCTAGCCATCCTCTGTGCAGCTCTGGGCCTGGGCTTCATCATCTCCAGCAGGACCCGCAGTGAACTGCCTCATCTGGTGTCCTGGCACAGCTGGGTAGGAGCCCTGACACTGCTGGCCACTGGTGGCCAGGCACTGTGTGGGCTCTGCCTCCTCTGTCCTCGGGCAGCCAGGGTCTCGAGGGTGGCTCGCCTCAAGCTCTACCATCTGACATGTGGACTGGTGGTCTACCTGATGGCTACAGTAACGGTGCTTCTGGGCATGTACTCAGTATGGTTCCAGGCCCAGATCAAAGGTGCAGCATGGTATCTTTGCCTGGCACTGCCACTGTATCCAGCCCTTGTGATCATGCACCAGATCTCCAGATCCTACTTACCAAGGAAGAAAATGGAAATGTGAGTTCCTGCAAACTCTGAATCTAGATGGAACACTTGCCTTGGACTTCATGGTTCCTTTGGTCGTCTACAAGGGATCCATTTCAGAAGTGGTCAGGTTTTTGCACTTCTTGGCTGGTCCAGGGACTGCAGAAACCAAAGCTGCTATTGCTGAGGAATAATTCAGTGGCTCAAAATGGGGAAATGTACTGGGTACGAGTGGAAGGTGATGGAGAGCCTGATCCTGAAGCCTCTACTTGATGAGAGTTAGTTTTGGGTGGTGCTAGTGATATGCTGGTGGTCATTTCTTGCTTGTGTGCCTGATGAAAAATTGTAAGTTATGAATGGCATCCATGGATATTTGGCTTACTTTTAAGAAAGCAGTGTGATGTAGTGGAGAGAGTCTATGGGCCTTGTTTATGGAATATGGTACTCTTAGGCTCTGTTGTACAACCTTAGGTACATTCCATACCTTAAGACCTCTGTTTCTTCATCTGTGAAATGTTTCTAAGCAGTCTCTAAGTCCCTTCCATCTTAATATTCAACATCTGTCAGGTCTGTGTCTCAGAACACCCTCCCAGCTGTGAACCATGTGGACCACTTAGCAGACTCAGGGTAGCTCCTTACTCTCCCTTTACTCCCCTGGAGGGACAGCTCTGCCCTTGAGGCCCTTCAGAAATTTGTGCTGATTTGGTCCCTTTGCCAGGGCATAGAGGGTCAGACACTGTGGAGAGAAGGGACTCAGATGAGGGTCTTCTGGACTCTAAGACAGTGAAGGCACTAAAGTCACTTTAAAGCTTTTGGAGGAGTAAGAGGGCATTGGCATCTTCCTTCAGCCCACCTCAGTATCTGGGCTTGAGGACTGTAAGGCCTGCGTGTGCTCCCTCCCCTGAAATTGCTTCTCAGGGCAAAGGAGCCCTGGGCATCTCATGCTTTGCTCATCTTAGGGCTCAGATTCTTGCCTTAGCACATAGCTACTTGGAGCTTTTCAAGCTTTTCATAAGGGTCAAGGAAGTGGGGGAAGGGCTTTTCTGATCCCAAGAAAACAAAGTTTTTCTGGTTCCCCCTCTTCCTTTTTTTTGTTATCTAAGCTTTCCTCAGTTGTCATCTCTTGCCAGCTCTTTGGTCCAAGAGGGGACTGAGTTTGGTGCCAGCTGGCAAATGAGGGCTGGGCTCTCTTCCCCACAGAGAACCCCCTTCCTTGTTGCAGATGAAAGTAGTTCCCCAGACTGCCCTCGGTGGTGAGGACTGGATGCCAGACTGCTTAGCTGTGGTCTGGCTCAGTCGGAAAGATGGGACCTCCTTAAATCATGGCAAGGACTGACAAGAGTGAAGCCAGGAAAGTGCTGCTGAGGCAGGTACACATAGCTCACAGGGAACTCTGGGAAGCCTGGGGTGTAGGCGCTAGAGCTCCAGTTCCTGGGAGCAGGGGCAGGTGTTCTTAGACGTTAATGTTGTGGATGACCCGGGTCTTCTGAAGATTCAGGTCCTCCTCTCCATGTAGCTCAGAAGAAAGGAGGTTGGTGTGATTCAATAGTACAAGAATGGGCACAGCAAGGGCAGAAGTGTCCTCTCCGTATACCTCATTATGCCTCTCCTGGGGAAGACTGCATCTTTCAGGACAAGCATCTAAAGGAGGCCCCAGCTGTGCAGAGGGGTGATTGTTCCTGTCTCTTTCATTGTCCCCCCTCCTCTCAAACTATCCAGTGTGGTGCAAACTCGGAAGAAACAGTTACTGGGGCTGCATGGAGAATCTCACCTGTGGTGATTTTGATCCAGGGACTGCATCTCCTCTTCCCTCATCACAGCCAATGCTGAGGGGCTCACCCTACCTGCAGCAGGGTAGGAGGGCCAGGCAAAGTTCACCAGCTTGCTCTGAGAACAAGCAGGCAATGCCGTAAAGCCTGAGCCTGCCTGAGGTGCTGCCTCCTCCCAGGTGGTGCGGGGGCTGATGGGCGGGCGGGCAGGCATGCTGACAGCCGGCAGTTTGCGTGGGCTGTGCCATCTGATGTCTATTCCCAGCCCTGGGAGGAAGGGGGAGTCATTTATATTCTGCAGGAGGAAGGGGCCCCAGCTGTCGCCTTTCTGACCAGCGGGCCTGGAGGGCAGGGGCACAGAGCAGAGAGGAGGGCACAGGTGGTCTCCTGCTTAGCCTGGTCTGACTGCAGTATAGGGCACAGGTCACCAGGAGGAGCCCTTCATCCTGGCAGGCCGGATTATGGAGTGACTTCCCTCCCCCCTTTCCATTTCTCCATCAACACCTGCCCTCCCATCCTGGGGCAGCAGCTGGACAGCCATTAGACCTCAGTGCCAGAGCACTCTTTCTCCAGCTGGGATCTCAGTGGCTCCCAGCTTCATGACCTCCTGCTTGTGTGTTCCCTCCTCCTCCATCCTCTGTTCTGCGTACCTCCCCTTTTCTCCTCATGTCTGGGGTATTCACTTGGCTCATCGGCAAGGAAGCAAACGCCTTAGAGAAGCACATGGTTGCCCTTTTGTCCTTGCTCCCTGACTAGGGAAAGCTGCTAGTGGTCAGCCTGTTTTGCCTTAAAAGAAAAAAAAAAAAAGCCAATTTTAAAAATTTGTGGGTCATTTGCACAAATTTTCATATCAAGCTAAGTCCTGATTCCATTTGATTATATTCCAAATTTGATCATATTCCAAGTTTGATTATACTCAGATTCAACCTTGAGGACATTAGAAATATAGATGGCTTCTGTATCCAAATCTGAACGGAAATGAGATTACCTTTCTGGGTTCAGCTACCCCTCCAAAACCCCCATCTTTCCTGTAACTACCCCTCTTCTGACCCCCGTCACGACTGGAGGTGGTATGGAATGAGAGGACCTCTGTGTCAGGGGAAGTCCTCCAGCCTCACCTTCTTGGCTCTTAAGTGGTAGGTCGTTAGCACTCGCCAGGCTGGGCCTCCTCTCCCCCGACCCTTTCACAAGGCAGACTGCCCTTCCCCACTCACTGGACTGTCCTTTCTTTCTCATTGTCCCACCTTCTTCCACCCCTGTACATGGATGCTGTAGACCTTTTTTTTTTTTTTTTTTTGAGATGGAGTCTCACTCTGTCCCCAGGCTGGAGTGCAGTGGCATGATCTCGGCTCACTGCAACCTTTGCCTTCCAGGTTCAAACAATTCTCCTGCCTCAGCCTCCTGAGTAGCTGGGACTACAGGCACCTGCCCACCATATATTTGTATTTTTAGTAGAGATGGGGTTTCACAATGTTGGACAGGATGGCCTTGATCTCTTGACCTCGTGATCTGCCCGCCTTGGCCTCCCAAAGTGCTGGGATTACAGGCGTGAGCCACTGCACCTGGCCAGGCCTTGTTTTTAAAATCTCACTGTGGGAGATTCAGGCATTCTCCCAGAGCCAGCTGGCTGCTGTGCCAAGGCCTGTTCAGAGTTAATAATAATCATTAGCTGAATGGTGCTGGGGCCTTTCAGCTTCAGATCTCTAAGCACTTGCAGGCTGAGTCAGCCAGCCCCGACCTTAGCCCTCTTCCTGGGTTGCAGAGTGTAACAGAATGGGGAGGCACTATGGGAAGGAAGTCAGGAATCTTGCTGCTAGCCACGCCTTGCAGTGTCTGTCTTCTGGGAGTGGGTACTGAGAGTCCTCTCCGTAAACTTGCAAAAATAAGACTTGCACCTGACAAAGGTCAAGATATGTAGGGAACACAGTGTACGCTAGGCTGAGTGACTGTGGCGGTGGCAGGGATGGCTGTTGAGCCTCAATTTCTAGTACTCCTGCCCTTCCTTCTGTTTACCTGTCTTGGCCTCCAGGGTGCACTCCTGGTCTTGATGCCTCAAGCCCAACATTTCTGGGGCTCCTCTGCAAGCTTAGAGAGCAGGGAGGCTTCTGGTAGTGCTCCTGATGCTCCTGTGTCTGGTTGGCACAAATCCTGCGTAACATGAAATGAAAGGTGCATCGGCCTGGGGGCTGGGAAACCTGCAGTATGAATTTACTCCGTTCCCATCACTGGTGTGGCCATGGGCAAACCACTTATTGCTTGACCTACCTCACAGGGATGTTGTGAGGGTTAGATGAGAGAATGAATGTTTTATTAGGAATTGGAAAGTTCAAAGCATTAAACTAAACACATGTAAACAGGTGGTATTATTACGTTCTTGTCTTTCTCTTTCACTGAGCCAGGCTTTGGGCTTTATGCTTCTTAGGCAATACAGTTATGGATAATGACAGGGGATCTAAGTCTCAGAGAGTTGTTTTTACCATCGTAAGAAAACATGGACACATTTCTTTCTTCCAGATGCAAGGCCAGCTCTTACTCCTGCCAGAAATGTCACCAAGGCCATGACTAGTGACGTTTGCCTTAAGTGCTGCCTACCTGGTGTTCTCAAATCACAGGGCAGACTGCAGAGCTCGGAGTCAGTACAGTTGCTCCCTAGATCCAGCCTGAGCTTCCTGGAGCTGGTCTTCGTCGGGAGCTGCAGGTCACAAGTCTATCTAAATCTCTCCTAATTCTGCCCTTCTGAGGGAAAAGTGGGGCAGACAAGCTAGGAAGGGAGGGGCAACTGTAACAAACAGCAGTACCACCGACCCTCTGGTTTCCTGAAGCCACAGAATGAGCGACACCTGCCTCAAGCATTGGAGATGCAGAGCTGTGACCCCTGGCTTCAAGGGGTCCACAGCCTGGTTTTCCTTTTCCTATTTCAGGCTTTTGGAGTAGGATCAGTCCCCTCCTCCTCAAAGTGCTTTATTGGCATTCACACACACACACACACACACACACACACTGAAAACAGCATTCACACACAGGGAAAGCAGTTCTGTTTAAATTTTAAATTGGGGAAGGATACTTTCCATTCCATTTGTCTGAGAGCAGCCAGCAGTCTGCCTGGAGTGGATGCAAAGAAGCAGGAACAACAGCAGTGCAGAGGCTTGAATATTCGTTTTTTATCTTAATTGTTTTTTCTGTCCTGGGATCCAGGAATGACACTCTAGTCAGGCATTGTGTGCAGAGCCTCAGCAGTTCTCGCCAGCACTGCACAGAGAAGACAAGCGGAAAGGCAGAACTGCCCTGGAGGGTGGTTTGAGGTAGTCTGTCTCCAGCATGGGCTGGGCTTAACCCCTTAATGTAGGCAGAAATTACCTCCAGTGAGGAAACCTTCTCCCTACCCACCAGCTCAGGGGACCTGGCTACTCACCAGATGTGTAACAGAATAACAATCTCAGTTTTTAATTCACCTCCTATTGTAAGAATTTTTAGATGAGTTTTTAACCTCTGTTGGAAGCAGATTAAGGAAAGACTTCAGGCTCATCAGTGGTACCTGAGGAGCCAACTCTGTCTTACTGAGTATGCATGCGTGGCCCCTAGCATCCCTATCTTTAAAGCAGATTCCCAGTTATCTCATGGTGCTTTCTAATGATGCTCAGTTCTGCTCAGGACCCCCAAAAGCAAACTACAACCAAGTGAGGAAGCAGTGGGAGGTGGAGAAACAAAGCACAAAGTACGATCCAGCTCCAGTTCTCCCCAACCTGTATGTGTGTGCACACATGCACACACACTGGCTTTGGGGGCAACGACTCCTGCCTAATGTATGCCAGTGCCAAAGGGCATCCAGAAGTCCCATTGCAAGGCTCTACGTCCTGGCTCACTGCAGGTTAGTTCTCTCAGGCCATGGTTCCAACCAGGGAGAGTAAACAAGCTGACTAGATTGGAGGCCTCAGGGCAGGTCTAAGTGTCTTCACCATTTTGCATTTTCCACCTGAGAGTGTAGAAGCTTGATGAAGGGGCTTGACTGGCAGCTGCTTTAGCCTTCCTTTCTCAAGCCTCAGGAGAGGAAGCATTCAGCACAGGCTTATTGTGGCTAGACCAGAAAAGCCAACTGTCCCACTGCAGGGCCTGAGCCTTTTCTGCTCTGTGGGTGGGGAAAGTGAAGCTTCCCCACTGGTTTCCTGGGAGACACAAGATAAGTGGTGCAAGAAGAGCAAATACAGAAAGGGAAGGAGAGACTAGGGGGAAGACAGGCTAGGCTAGCCAATGCACTGAACTCTTTCATCTGTTCTAAAAGAAAACTGTCATGTTAGCCTCTTCCCTCCCCGCAAGTGCTACCTAAGAGGAGCCAGGAGTGCTACAAGGCATGGCAGACAAAATTGCACATCTTGGCCAGAATCTAAGGAACTTCTTGTGGCATGGGGGAGATGGTGGGGATGTGAGTGGGTGGGTGGGGATGTGTGTGGAAGAGATGCAGCCATGGACTTCCCTGGGCCAGACACAGGCCAAAACAGGAGAACTCCCAACTAGTCTTCATCAGACTTGCTCTCCTTATCAGCGTCATCCTGTCGGCCATAGCAAAAACTGCTTTGCGGATAAAAAACTGTATAAATGCAGAGTATGGGAGTGCTCTGACATCAACAGCTGTCATTTCACTGACTGCCAAGGTTGACTTGTCTGATGTGGCTGGTTGTGCAGTAGCTCCACCCCTCATCACCTTGGTTGTTACTCAAGTGAAAAACAACTTTCCAGATACAGGAGGGCTGCCCTTCGGTCAAGACTTTAGGTATTCAAATTGATTCTTTTTTTTCCTTATATCATTTCCTCTCCCCCTTTGGAATCTGCCATGACAATCCCCTTCTGGAATCACCAAGGGAGTACCCAAAGAATCTGCATGGTTAGAGTTTAGAATCCAGTCCAATTTCTGGTAGGCTGAGTCTGCACCAAAAAGTAGAGACTGCATTTTTCCGTTCCACGCAATGCCTAGGACACACTAGGCTGTCAAGGAAGATTAACCTGGCCATTAGATGAATATACTTTTAGCCTAAGATGGCTACTGTTTATAACATGAAAATACTAATTAAAAAAATTCTGTGAAAGTGAGCTGCTCCCTACCATTTTCTAAGACCCAATCCAAACATTTTTTCCATGGTATGGTCAGTAAGCTTGATCCAGACTTTTAAGAGAACTCTGCAGGGAGGCAACCCTCCACCCTAGGGTCCAGGAAGACTTCATTATCTACAAGCCTCAGCGCCAAGTCATGGGATTTCTAAACTCTAAAGCTTCAGTGACATTTCTTTTGAGAATCTTATCTCAGGGGTCAGCAGACTATGGTCTGTTGGTCAAACTAGCCCTTGCCTGATTTTATGTGGTCTGTGAATAATAGTTTACATATTTTTTTAATGGTTGGAAAAACTCAAAAGCCATGTTAAAATTCAAATTTCAATGTCCATAAGTCAAATCTGATTTGGACCAGAGCCACAGTCATTCATTTCTGTCCTGTCTGTGGCTACACTCAGGCGATAGCAGCACAGTTGAGTTGTTACAGAGACTGTATGGTCTGCAGAGCCTAAAATATTCACTATCTGGCTCATTAGAGAAAATGTTTGCCGATTCCTGGTCCATCTTAATGCCTAGATGTGTATTTCACCCATGTCCTTATAATAGCACTGAAAGATTTTCTTCCTAGATAGGCCACACCCTTCTGAGTTACAGCGAACCCCACGCACAGGATGAAAATATAAATAAACCAGTCAGATTGTGCCAGAACAGAGACTCAAGCCAGGTTTAATGATCATTGTCTAGTTTTCA